ACAGTTTTACTATTTTAAATTATTATAGGGGTTATGGTTACTGTATCTTTATTTTTATGACAAGTTATTGGTTATGCTCTTGATTTATTCGATCCCAGGCTTTTATTCAAGAACACAACCTCCAATTAAATGTGGTTGCTGTGGCAAAAATACGATTCTCCTTAGAATGACCCTCTGTGGGGCTATTTCCAAAAACTCATTATGGTGAGAAGTCAGGGCTGCCTGTTCGTGTCCATGAGCATGTCTCCTTGTGGTCACTTGGTTTTCCTGTATGGAGGATTAGAGGGTATGAAGACTGTGGGCTGGACCCAGAGGAGACTGGAGGGAAAAAGGGGAAGCTAAGTGGGTCACCATTCAGAGGCATGTTACCTCAGTATACTACCCAAGGCCCCCTTAGCTATCGGGAAGCTGTTTTCTCTTCAGTGAAAGAAGGAACTACAACCTGAAGGGGCTAGGAAGCCAAGCCAGTCCTAGGACTCTGGCCCAGCCCTCAAGCTTCCCTCCCTTATCACACTGAACACCCCAGGAGTGTCTTGGGCACATGTATGGCACTAATCATCTTATCTTAGACTGTTCAGGTTGCCATTAACAGAAATACCATGGACTGGGGGGCTTAAACAACAGAAATTTATTTCTCATAGTTCTAGTGGCTAGGAGTCCAAGATCAAGGCACTGCTAGATTCAGTATCTGGTGAAGGCTTGCTTTCGGGTTCATAGACAGCTGTCTCGTGCTGTGTCCTCACATGGTGGAAGAGGTGAGAGAGCTCTTTAGCATAGCTCTTGTAAGACCACTAATCCCATTCGTGCAGGCCTCAATTTCACAACCTAATCACCTCCCAAAGGCCCTATCCTAATACCTCCCAATACCATCACATGGGGAGTTAAGTTGCAACTTAGGAATTTTGGAAGGACCCAAGTGTTTAGTCTATAGCACTGCCCTGTCATTACTCTAGGGGAACGACCCAAGCCTTGAGTACAGCATAGCCTTATCTTCTATGAACCCTTTGGCCTTTTCTCAAAGTGGGGAACAGATATTGCTTTAACCTAGAAGAGATTTAGTGTCACTTAGGAAATGACAATTATCACTGCTTTAGGTTTTCCAGTATTTGCCTCACCAAAAACATGAATTTACAATGAGGAATAGACAATCAAGTCACTTTGGAGACCAAAACTGTGGTTCCAGATCTCCACTTAATCTGCCATTTACTGGCTAATCATCGACTTCTTTGGGCCTCTTTCCTCAGCTCTCTGGGTTCAATACTATGATTGATTTCGTGTGCCATTACTGACACTGTTGGAGCCCCACCTAGACCCCCTTCACCAGGCTAGTAAACCCATTCCCAGCAACTGTGTTGGCTGAGGATTTGCAGATGGAGTTCCCCAAACCCCTGTTTCAGGTCCTGCATCAGGATACCCCAACCCAAGATACTTCCCTCATAGGCTTGTAGGAATCAAGTAAGATTCTATATGTGAAAGTCCTCTAAAAACGAAATATCAGTGGGATTTTCCATGTGGCCTTGGACTAGACCGTAAAAATGCTCGCTGTGACTTCTTGGCTGAAGGCCTGTGATGAAGGCAGGAAACTTTTTTCTTTCACGGAAAGAAAGTTTTGGAAAGTTTTTCTTTCACGCTCCCAGGAAATGCAGGGCTGTTGTCCTTCAAGCCAGGGGTGTAAGCCTAGGCTTCTTTCTCTTCCCCACCCAGGAGCCCAGGATAGTGGGCAGACAGTAAAAATGGGTTTCTGTGAAGCTGATTGTCTTTAGGTAATATTACGTAGTGGTTGAACAAGTTTTTCTCCTATTGGGAATAGAAGAACTGGAGTTGCAAATCATTTCAGACCTAGGAACCCAAGCAAGGTCACAGAAATCCTTGCCTGTGCTTCAGCTACAAGGTGGTACAAAAGTCCCACTAGAAACTGCAACTTTCTAAGAGGCACCAGTTTCAGGATCTTTAAAAATCTAAAATTTATTTTAATAGGGCATCTCAGAGATAAATTGGTGGGAGCAAGGGGTGGTGTAGAAAGCAAAAGGAAAATTCAAAGGAAGGAGGGAGCCCAGTTCCTGAGGACGGAAACACTTGCCATGTCCCCAGTTAATCATTTATGCCCCCAGGCCTGCGGGCCACCAGAGTCCACCCTGCTGCAGGGGGCCAGAGTACTTGCTAATGGAATGCTAACCATGCCTTTGGTGCAGTTAATGATTTCTCTCCTCCCATTACAATGCTCTACACTCCCTTTCTCTGAAGCTCACAGGAGGCTCTGTAATCATCTTCTGGAGGTTAGGCTGGTTATGCCTAATGTGGTAGAGGAGAAGATCACAGTGATTCGCAAACTCAGGATAGCACCAGCCTTCCAAGGGCTTCCTTTTGTAGGAAAGTGTATCTTTCCTTAGTTGTTTTCTAAAAACATGCTTTAATGAAGTAGTTGTTGTCTGATGTTCCTCTATATGAACCTTTGCCAAGATAGCATCACAGGATGACATGATTTTATATGGGTACACAACGTTTGTCACCATCAAAGATGCATAGTGTTTATTTGTAGAGTGCTTCTATTTCCATTGTGTGGAATGGAAGCCCTTAGGGACCTCAACAAATTAATGAATGTGCTGTACATTCATTATACATGCTGATATAAAAGAAATGTGATGCCTCAGTGGCTCAGCTGGTCAGGTATCTGACTTGGTTTTGGCTCAGGTCATGATTTCATGGGTTGTGGGGTGGAGCCCCATCTCCAGCTCCACGCTCAGGGTGGAGTCTGCTTGAGAGTCTCTCTCCTGCCCCTCCCCCACCTCTTTCTCTCTCTCTCTCTCTCTCTCTCTCTCAAATAAATAAATCTTAAAAAAAAAAAAAAAAGGAAACACGTATCTTCATTTACATTTTTTTTAATTTCACAAATGCCAGGTATGTTATTTGCAGAAATACCAGAAGATAATTGTTCAGTAAAGAAAAAGAGTAGAGACCCCAGAGACAATCACCAGTAACCCTTTATTTCATATTGTAACAGATGTCAGAGCTTATCTGTCCAAGTGAAGGGAGATGCCTCACCACCACCCACCTCAGAGAGGGTATGAGTGCTTTGGTGACAAACACTGTTGATTGCTTCCAGGGGATAGACTTCAGAATCTCAGCATTCCCTCACAGATACTCAATCTCTGACATGAATATGGCTTAGATTTTAATAGGAAAGGGATTTTTTTGTTTCCAGAATTTATAAATAAGATGGGCAATATTGATTTGAAGTTTTGAATTTTGTTTTTTGGGTTTTGTTGTTGTTGTTGTTCTTTTTTTAAATTGAAACCAGACTACTAATTAGTGAGGATGGGGAGGCAGGCCTTGTGAGATTTATAAAGTTGTGCTGACAGGTGACTATGGAATAACCAAAGAGGGGATTATTCACTTTGGGGACTTTCCCTGTGTTTCCGGGCTTCCTTCCCAAGGAAGACATCTGCATCCTGGCTACTGAGAAATGGGTTTGAGGATGAGCTGGAAGTGGGATGCCTGGGAAGGGAGGCAAGCACAGTCCAACAATGACCCCTAAAATTGTTAATGCAGTTGTTTCTGCACTGGCGTGCTCAGGGAGCTCACTGTGTTTGGATGCCAAGTTTGGATGCTCTCCCTTATGCTAATATAGCATCTTTGCTGACCTTACTGGGGTGTGAGGGGGTCATTGAAGGCTTTCTTTGTGAATTCCGTTTGGGGTCATCCAGCAAATTTTGGTTTTGTTCCATCCATATTCGCCGTCTCTTATCTTACAGTGGATACACAGATGAAAGCTATTGCTACCACCATTTTATAACGCAAACAGCTTCTTTCTCAGGAGACTTCTGTGTTGTCTGCTGTGCACTGTCCAGTGCTAAAATCTCTTCATTCTGGGTCCCAGGCCACACGTTGATGGGCCAGTCTGAACCCTATTCCTCTGAAGATCTGCCCACTCTCATGGGCCTGTTGAGTTTCAGGGCTCAAAGGAAACTTCTTTGTCTGAAACTCAAGGTGATGTCTTTTCTTGGAATTTAACTCTCTTAATTTTTCCTCGTTGGGGAAATATCTTCTCTCCAAACAAGTCACTGTAAGGGTCACCTGTGTCAGGTACTTACAAGAGTGCTTAGTACTTAGCACTCAACAGATGTTAGCTGCTGACTAGTATTGGAGACAGAGTGGTCTAAAGCCACATTGCTCCCAAAAAACATCACGCAAACGCACGGTGTTGTTGTAACTATTCTAGTACCCCACTGAAAAAGTAAAAAAACAGGTGAATTTAATTTTAACAACATATTCCACCTAACCCAACATGTCAAAAATACGATCTTTCAACAGGTAGTCCATATTTTCAAATTATCAAGTGAATTTTACATTCTTTTTTTCATCAAGTCTTCAAAACCCAGTGTGTCATTTATACTTACCGTACAGCTCAGTTAGGACCAGCCACATTTGGAGGGCTCCACGGCCACGTGTGGCTAGCTTGGCTTCCATCCTGGGCAACTCAAAGGTGACTTCCAGAGACCAGAAGCATCGGCATCGCCCAAGACCTTGTCTGAACTGAAGAATCTCAGGCCCCGCGCCAGACCTAGAGAAGCAGAATCTGCATTTTAATAAGTGATTTATTGGCATGTCCGAATGGGAAGCACTGGTCTGGAATGCTCACGCTCAGTCCTCATCCTCTGGGATTCTGATTTAATTGGTCCAAGGTAGAAGCTGGGCGGTGGCATTTTTTTTTTAAGCTTCCTCTGGGAATTCCAATATGCAACCAGGCTTGAATCACTTGTGTAGTGGGCTCTGGAGCCAGGATGCCTGGCTCTGCCATTCTCTACCTTGGAGACCTCAGGAATCTACCACAAGACACTCTGTGCCTCCATTTCTTTATGTCGCAGAAGTCCTATCTGCTTCAAGGAATGTTATGAGTTAATGAGGAGTTAAGACATGTAAAGCACTCAGAACCACACCTGGCACATAGGAACCACTTCTCAAGTGTAAGCTCTTTTTACCCTTTCTTCTTCTCCTTGAAGGTCCGGGGTTACCCAGAGCCCCACGTGACGTGGCACCGAAATGGGCAACCCATCACCAGTGGGGGCCGCTTCCTTCTGGACTGCGGTATCCGGGGAGCTTTCAGCCTTGTGATTCATGCTGTCCGGGAGGAGGACAAAGGAAAGTATACCTGTGAAGCCACCAATGATAGTGGTGCCCGCCAGGTGACTGTGGAGTTGACGGTGGAAGGTGAGTTTTAGGAAGCGAGAACTGTGGTGGGAGATGAGCTATCCACTTGCCCAAGGCCTGCAACTCCTGCTTCTGCCCTCTCTTGGGCAGAAGAGAAACACACAAGAGAAAGCACATCCATCCTTGAATTCAGGACCATTTAATCTAATGGGAAAAACATTCCGAGGAACGAGGGAGACACCCTAGGAGTCATGTCAAACTCAGGTCACCTCATTTTGCTGTTCCAGCCTTCCCATGGCTTCCCCTCACACTGAGGCTGAGACCAGACTGCCCCTCCTGGCTCTCTAGACCCATCCACCACTCCTGGCCAGGACCCCTGCCCTTCCTTGAGCTAGCCTCAGAGCCTTCTCCTGCCCTTCCCTGTCAAAGCAAGAGCTCCGTCCACAGCCCTCACCTCCTTCAGGTCTCTGCTCACATGTCCCCTCCTTAGCTGACCCTTTCTGACCTCCTCAATCCTAGGATTCTCCATCCTCTCACTCCCTCAATAGTTTCTTCTAGCTCTCTTCCTGCTTCTCATTTCTTTATTCTCTCCTCCACCCTCACTTCTAACTAGAAACTAGGAGGCGAGGCTCTTGATATTGTTTATGCTGTATCTCTAGCATCTAGAAAACTTCCTGGCACAGGATAGACCCTGAGATATTTGAAGAATGAATGAACAGTGTTTCTTATCCTCCTTATAAAGTAATACTCGCCTATCTATACAAATGTTGTAAAACTCAGAAAAATATATAGGAGATAAATATACCAATGTGTTAACACTAATTATTTTGTCTTTTTTCCCCCCTGTGTGCTGAAGAGATTCTATCAACTTTATTAACTTTAAAACTTCCAGGAAAAATACTTGACCACCAGTAAAACTGTTTCTTTTGCCGCTAGTGTAACCCCCACATAATGAAGACCACCCCCCCACTGGAGGGACCATTTCCAGTTCACACCACTGGCTGCTGCTTAAAGGCCTGATGTCCAAAAGGACATGGGGGTTTGTCAGACCCTCAGAGGTATGACAAGGTTCCCTCAACCCTTCCAGGCCTTTCTAAGGGCTAATAAGCTAGAAGTCCCGTCTCACTTTCTTCCCTCCCAGGGGACAGTGTTCCCAGCCTGGTTTTGAGGGACACTGTATGTGAGGATTAAGGTAGCCAGGAAAGGTTCCAGAATGGGTGAGGTACACCTGGGCCAATGTTTTCCCTGCTTCTCTACATCATGGAAAGACAGGCTGTTTCACGGAACAGAATGCACATAGTTTGGATGCTTTCCCCAAATTCTTTAACCGAGTGACTCATTCCTTTCAATGACCTTTAACTGCCTGTGGGCTGGAGCATTCCAGATGGAAAGTGGCCCCTGAGCAGAGTCTCTGAATGGCCCTCACCTAGGACAGTTCCGGTACTGTGCTTTCCCCTGTACTTTTCAATATCCAAACTTTGAGTTGAGGCTCACAAAAATTACTTTCCCCCCTGTATTAGTCAACTCAAGCTGTCATAACAAAATACTATACACTACATGGCTTCAGTAACAGAAACTTATGTTCTCATAGTTCTAGAGGCTGGAAGTCTGAAGTCAAGGTGCAGCTGGGGTATGGTTTCTGGTGCGAGCTCCCTTCCTGGCTTGCAGATGGCCCTGTGTCCTCACAACGACAGAGAGAGAACACCCCAGTGTCTCTTCCTCTTTTTACAAGGGCAACAGCTCTGCTAGAGTAGGGCCCCACCGTTATGACCTCTTTGAACTTTTATCACCTTCTCCCAGGCCCTATCTCCAAATACAGTCACACTGAGGGTTAGGAATTTGGGTGCTGACACAAAAATTCAGTCTATAATACTCTTTTTCTAGCTTTCTGTTTATTGCTGGAGGAATGGGGAATTATGAGTCAGGAGTCCAAGGGACTGGTCCCAACTTTTGCCAATCATATGTGTAACTTTAAACCTCTGGACTTCTGTTTCTGCAGATCAAGGGTTTAAATTCAGTGGTGTCTGTAGACTGTGCTAGCCTTTGTTTTCTGTGATCCGTTTTAAAGGAATGGAATGGGTTAGGGATACAGAGGAGGTATATAAACCCCAAGCAATATGAAATCTTTCTTTCAGTTGCCTTTATTGAGGAAGTTAGGGCTGATGACCTACTAAAATTTTTCCTGCTTAGCTGAGACGTGGGCAACAGGGAGGAAGGAAGGCAGGAGAGCTCTCAAGAAGGCTCCCAACCCTGTCCTCTCCTTTGGTTTTCATGTGGGGAGACTCAGGCCCAGACCACTGAAGATGTTTCATGTCTTCTAATCCTAGGACACAGAGAATGGCCTAAAGACTGCAGCATCTTTAAATGTGAGTGAGCTTGTATGCATTCTGCTTCCGCACCAAAGGCCAGTTTCAGCCGGTGTGTGGCTTAAGGCCACCCTGTAGAACACAGGTCTGGAAGGAAGCCTGAATTCTTACAAAGGGGCTCTAGCAGCCTGCTCACCAACTCTGTGCTATGCTCCTTGTTCAGAAAGAGCAGAGGTCCTAGAATGAAGAGTATAATTCATGTGAAGACTTCCGATGCCCTAGTGGTTCAGACCAGAAGGCACTATTGTTAAATGGTCTTGGATTTTAGCTCCACTGATTTCTAACTCTGGGGAACTTGGACCTTTTGGAGCCTTATTTCCTTTTCTGTAAACGGGAACCCACAGCTGCCCCATGGGTTGTGTAAGGATCGGTGCAGCACTGGCAGATAGTAGGTACCTGGTAAATGAGGCCTTGTAGTATTTGAACCTGCTGTTAATATCCTGAGAACTACATTCAGAGAGAAATCTTTGCATGGAGAATAGAGGAATATATTCCTTCGTCTGATCTCCTGTCTGGTATCTGGGGCCAGGAAACATGTAACATCCTTCATGAGCATGAGTGCCTCAATGACAGGACTGTTCATCGCCTTAGATGCTGGGGTGCAGCCCTACAGTGAGCCCTGGAAGGGCTCTCTGTGGCCAGTCCCGACACTCACCCGCCTCCAGGGGGCTGCTTGCAGAGACTGGGTACAGACCAAAAAAGAGACATGGCATCTGCCCTCTGGGAGCTTGCCTCTCTAATAGAGGGGCCACAGGCTTGTTCTCCAGCAGAGCTGTCCGTAGAAACACAATGTGAGCCACATACATAATCTTAAATTTTCTAGTAGCCACGTTCAAAAAAACAGGTGAAGTCAGTTTTCATAAAATATCTTACTTAACCCAGTATATCCAAGATAGAATCAACATAAACTTATTAAGGTAATATTTTACATTTTTTAGGCTTTGGGAAATATTTTGCACTTACAGCAACATCTCGATTCAGACTAGTCCTGTCTTAAGAGCTCAGTGACCACATATGGCTAATGCCTATCCTGTTGGACAACATAGCTCTAGAAGGTCCCACTGGAATAGGGATAAACAAGACTTACACAGAGAAAAAATAAAATCCACGTATATGAAGAAGGTGGTGAGTGGTCCCGGGCAGTCACTTCCACAGAGTGAGCCTAGAACTTTGGGTGCAGTGAGGGACAGGGCTGAAGTGACAGCTGTGCCCCAGACTTGATGGTCTGAGTCTCAGAAGGCCCATTGTGTTCCAGGGACCAGGGAGTCACTTAAGTCATTTTAAGTAATAGAGGGCTAATTTTAAGACTTGAGCTCAGGAGCCCAGGGTAAGCCAAACTTGCAGGCCCAGAAGAGGTCCAGGCCTCAGGATGGCTCATACTCACCTTACAGGATTGCTGAGTGCAAACACAGGGACCCACAGATCCCCCTGGGAATCTTGTTGAAAATGCAGATTCTGATTCCATGGGTCTGGAGTTGGGCCTCAGGGTCTGCGGTTCTAACCAGTACCAGGTGATGCCCATGCTACTGGTCCCTGCATCACACTTTGAGAACAAGGAAGGATTCAATGACCGATGTGACATATTTAGCCCAATACAGTGATTCTCAAATGTAAGCATATATTGAATCACCTGAGGGGCTTCTGGAACCACACACGCTAGGCCTTGCCCCAGAGTTTCTGATTTAGTAGGTTGGGACGGGCTCAAGAATTTTCATTTCTAACAAGTTTCTTGGTGATGCTGCTGTTGCTGCCTATGGGTACCAATGCTTCAAGAACCGGTGGGCTAGTGCTTATACTGACTGTCAGGGGACTCCAGGAAACAGAATAGATCATACCTATATATGTAGAAAGAAATTCATTACAAGAAATTGGCTCGCACAATCATAGAGGCTAACAGGTCCCAAGATCTGTAGTCCGGAAGCGGGAGACCCAGGGGAGTCAATGGTGTAGTTCTAATCCAAGTCCGAAGGCCCAAGAGCCAAGAGAGTTGATGGGGTTGTTTCAGTGCAAAGACCAGCAGACTCCAAAACCAGAAGAGCTGATGTTTCAGTCTAAGTAACCACAGAGGAAAAACCCATGTCCCAGCTTAGAGGCAGTCACATGGGAGGAATTCCTCACTTTTTCCTTCTATTTGGGTCTTCAACTGGTTGGATGAGGCCCACTAACATTAGTGATGTCAATCTGTTTTACTCAATCTACTGATTTCAATGTTAATCTCATCCAAAGACACCCTCATGCAGGGGCTACTGGGCGGCTCATTTGGTTAAGTATCTGACTCCTGCTTTCACCTTGCTTTCAGTGATGATCTCAGGGTTGTGGGATCCAGCCCCAGGTCAATCTCCACACTCAGCATGGAGTCTGCTTGTCCGTCTCATTCCACCCCTGCCCTCCCTGCTTGCGCGGGCACTCTCTCTCTCAAATAAATAAAACCTTAAAAAAAAAACAACACCGAAGTACCCTTACACCAACATCCAAAATAGCGTTTGACCAAATATCTAGGCACCCCACAGCTCACTTAAATTGATGCATAAAATTAACCAGCGCTAAATACTTTATCAGAATATCCCCGAAGTATTTCATGCAATCTGACTGACATATTTCTCCTTTTATAACTATCCATTTGGAATATCAGCTGAGTAACACAGGGCAGCTATAAAAGCTAGCAGTGGTATGTGATATGGGCTAGAAAGGCAG